GAATGAATTACTACATACATAATTTATAAAAAGAAGTATTTTCACTCATTCCATAGGCATTGATATTCCTTGCTACCTGTAGCTCCATACCTAGCAATCCAAGGAAGCCCCACTCGCCCATTGTTCTGAGGACTCATGCTCCCCATGTCACTCAGTATCATAACTGTCCTTGCTTAACACAGCACCACTAAAAACCCCTCCAGAGGCCATGTGGAGACCATTGAGTGAGCGAGGGAGGGAGGGAGAGAGGCAGGGAGGGAGGGAAGGATGGAGAGAGGGAGTGCGTGGCTCTGCACATACCGCACTTCACATCCAATGTCTTCTGCAGCGACCAAGAGTCACATGTAATTAAACAGAGGCAGTATGTAATGCCAGGAACTGGATTGTGCTTTCACCTCATAGGTTGCCTTTCTACATAGTTGTCTCCTTGGCTATACAGATTTTTTTTTTTTTAGTTTTGTTTGGCCTCATCGTGTTATTGTTACCTATGCCTTTGATGACATATTCAAGAAGTCATTGCCAAGAGCAAAGTCATAAAGATTTCATCCCACAGTTTCTTCTAGGAATTGCGCAGTTTTCAATCTCACATTTAAACCTTCATACATTCTGAGTTGACTTTTGTGTGGTGTCAAATAAGAGCTCAATTTCATTGTTTTGTGTATACACACCCAGCTTCATCAACATTTTTTTAAGGTGACCATCCTCTCACTGTGGGGTATTCTGGACTTCCTTGTTGAGAATTCATTGAATCTCTCTCTCTTTTTTTTTTAATTGAATATTTATATATTCTTTAATTTTGCACAATGACTTTTCTTTTTTTTTTTTATTTTACAACACCATTCAGTTCAACCTAATAGCCACAGATTCCCCTGTTCTCCCCTTCTCGCCCCCTTCCCGCTCCCCCCAGCCCACCCCCCATTCCCACCTCCTCCAGATCAAGGTCTCCCCCGAGGACCGGGATCGACCTGGTAGACTCAGTCCAGGCAGGTCATTGAATCTCTTGATGTAGACTTGTTTCTGGCCTTCCTGTTCTAGTCCATTCTTTTATGTACCTGGCTGCATACCAGACTATTTTGATTAGTGTGGCTTTATAAAGCCATGTTTAACCATCATTATAACATGTTAGTTGTGAACACTAGTGGAGTACAAATCAGCAGATGGATAAAATGAATAAATAGAGAGGATGTGATATGTGATTCTGGAAAGATAAGGTCTGCATTCTTTTTGGCAGCTTGCTGATAATACCACCAGATTAATAGATCCAAATCTTTTGCCTTTATTCTCTGTCAATGAATTAGAAAATTCATAACTATATGAGAGAAATCTGAAAGTACAATAAAAGATACAAGGGAAAATGTTGTGCATTCAGAGAATAAAAATTCAAATCTCTGATCTTCTAGGCTCTAAAGATATGAATTTAGGTGCATTACAAATTTTTCTGATACAACAATTTGTACATCCATAATGGTGACAATGACCTGCAAGAACCTGTATGCACTATAAAACATGATCCAAATATTCATTATTATTTCCCATTATGGTTCCATATTTATAAATGATAACTTACAAAAGCTGAGTTCTGAAACATTTCACTCAGTTCGGCCAGAGTTGCATGAATTCTGTCCTTGATCTCTGATGTGCTTTGCCCCATGCCTCCATCCTGATACACCATAGAAACGAAGTGGCCATGTCACAGAACAGTGGCATACACATTTCCAACATGAAATGTCAATGAGTCTCCAAGATTGAAGCATTAAAAATGTATACAGAACTACTGTCATACAAAGACGGTAATACTAGCCCATTCTTTTAAAAATAATTGCTACTGTTCACTCCAATAGAAACATGTATTACTATAATCTGTGAAAATGATTCTAACTTCTCCCATTGGTACACAATGGGAAACAAACATCTTAATATCGATCTCAATTTTTATGTGCAAAAGTAAAGCTGTGTTTATTCTGCCAACATATTGCTTTAGCTTTTTTCAAAAGATATGAAACATACAGTACCATCTGCAATCCAATTTATTATATGGAAGTTGCACAATTATGTACATTTTTTTTAAATGCCAGTTAACATTTGGGAGAAAAGGAAGGCATTGGCTCTATGAAATCTCCAAATGATTTAACCTTCACTGTTTTTTTCTTAAACCTTTTTCCCTCTGCTTTGTCTCTGCCCACCCTGCCAGCTTGAGAGCAATATTCTATCATCTTGTCAACCCCCTGCTAGGTGAAGCACATCTGTTACAAGATGCTAACTTCAACCAAGGGCTGGGCTACAGACAGGGCTTCTTTTGGATATAGATTTAAGCCCCAAGAAGAAATCACCAATTCCACATTACGCAGCACTTTATAGCAATGATAATCACTGGCATTTTTCGTGGTGCTTTACAGACACATTCATAGTGCTTAGCAGCTCAGGTTTGGGAATTACTCTTCATGGGCTTGAAATATGACTCTTCTTGGACAAGATACCCAACTTCCCTGTGCCTATTTTCTCACCTGCAGAAGTGGGATGATGACTTTATCTAGCACACAGAGCTTCAAGGACTGCTAAGCAAAATGGCCTAGCATAGTGCCTGGCACACATGTGATATCAATTTATATCTATTAAATATGGTACCATCACCATTCTTGCTAGTTTACCAGTCCTGCCAAAAGCATATGACTTGCCCCCATTTTTTTGAAGAAGAAGAAAAAAAAACCCCAGAATCTGAATGTCTAAATGGCCTGCCAATGGTCTCATCCCCAATAGATATTACTAGAGATTAACAAGACTAAAAGCTAGATGAATTTTTTTATAGAAAACTGAACTCTTCCCTATTCAGATGTATGTGCTCTTCTTTTAGAAAGAACAAAAGTGACAAATGATGAGGAGAAACAGGAAATAAGCTAAGGATCAGACTCAAACTAGGAGAGTTTGCTGTGCCCAGTACTTTCACTCAGAAGTGTCGCTGAATTTGGTGAGTCTCTGTGTATTCAGCAAGTGCATTAAAAGTGTAGTTGTGAAAGAACCCACTCACGTACCTGTATTGGTGAGCACGCAGCCTAGGGAAGAGGCAATAGACAATGATCAACAGCAAAGATGTAAATATGGTAACATCATATAGTCAAACACCTGTGTCCAACAGGAAACAGTGGCATGAAGTAAAAACAGCATGGTCTCTAAGAGAACAGGGTCTGGATCCATTAAATGTGATCTGGGATTTAATTGTGGCCTTTCCCCCATATGCTTCAATTTTCTCATAGAATTGTTTGAGGATTCAGTGTGTATACAGAGCTTAGAGTAGGACCAGCATACAGTAAGTGCTCTACAAGGGACTTTCAAGGTGATGAATGTGAGTGTCATGGGACCCAAAGGACGAGTACTTTTCTAGGTACAGAACAGCAGGTGCAAATGCTATGGCAAAGGCCGAGCTTGAGTCATGGAAGAAAAGAAAGGAGACCATGGGGTTGAAGCCTAGTAAGCAAAGGAGGGTGGCAGCTTATACGGTTTATTGTTTCTATTAGAGAATTAATAGTAGCTCATTTACCTGAATTAAGGGGCTGAGCTAATAATATCTGAATGTTCCTTTAGCTCCAAGACCACTTGACAATAATGTAACTTACCTGCTAAGAGTAAATAGATTCATTTGTCCACAGTGAGCAAGGTCCAGGAAGCACCAGCCACCTCCTCATGCTTCCTAAAATCTACAGCTACTGGAGATGGTAAGCAGAGTCCCTTAACCTTCAGTAATGCTTTTCTTCAGAGTAGGACCAGTTTGGCTGCAGGAGAAGCAAGTAACTGTCCTAGGCATCATTAGCATCAGTCTTTCCAGATTTTGTTCAAGTCAGTCCCTTTGATATAAGATAGCATAGACACATTGAGTTCCAGCACAAGTGATGATGTAAGAGATCCTGGATACCCTTGCCCCAAGAATATTCCAGAATAAGACCCTAGTGTCTACACTGAGCAGGGTAATGAGCCATCTACGTGATCTGGAGCCTGATCTAGAAAATGAAGACAGATGAGAGAATCTCCCTCATAAGTCAAGGGGGAAGATACAGTGAGACAAAGCACAGAGGTTGGCACCAAGAATTGTTCAATCAGTGAGCACATCTTGAAGATCTGAGAGCTAATCCTTCTTTGTGAACATAGGAGGAAAACACATCCACCTGGGCTGGCTTACGAATGGAATGTGGACGGTGTTTAGAACAAAAGAACAAAGCATTGAAAAAAATCGCTCCTGTTCCAGGCTTTCTGGAAAGATGGGCAGCTGAGGGGTGGTTGTCATAGAAACCCCTCTGCTTGAGCTCTAGCATCATAAAGACATGGGTTTGAGTCCACGCTCTGTCTGTCTTATTTGTTCCATCAAGGAATTAAGTTCCTCATGTACAAATTCAAAGTAAGTGTATTCAATATCCAAGCAAAATATAAACAAAGGGATATAGTGGATGAGATGTAAATGGTAAAACTGTTAGTTCATGTGTAACTGTGCTTATCATATAGTTTTGTGAATCAGAGATTCAAGCAAGACTTTGCTGGGTGGCTCTCACACTCTCCATGCCAACAATGCTATCATTCTACGGTTTGAAGAGCCAAGAGGACTTCATTCATATGCCTGGCCCCACTTCCCCCCCCTCTAAACATTACATTCACTTGGACACTGGAGCAAGGCATCTGGATGTTTTACATGGAGTCCCAGGGTTCCCAGAGACCAAGAAAAGCTGCAAGTTGTTTTCAAGACTATGCTTGCCTTATGCCATTTTCATTTAAGGCCCATGTTCATTGTAATAGGAACAGACTTTACCTTTTGATGGAAAAAAAAGAGTCAAAAAATTTGGGGCCAACTTTAGTTGTCCATAGTACCTAATGCTAAGAATGATAGGAGTTTTGGAGTGTGGCCAATTAAATGGAGAAGATGTTATTGCTCTGGAATGGGCTTCTTCCAGCCTCCTCCTCTGCCTTATATTTACAGCTCTGCCTTGATTAAGACTCACTCCTTAGTCAATGACAGGTGTAAGCCATCTCACTAACTGACATGCAAAATGATAATATTTTGCACAGCACCTTGATTGCATCATTCATCCAAGAATATTCAAGTCCTCTGCAAACAATAATTAAGCCTCAGGGCCCCCAAGTTGCTCCATTATCTTGTCTTTGTAGAGAGGGATGTTGTGAGCCCAGGAGAGTGAGCTTGCCAAAGTCACAGAACTGAGTGACAGAGCTGAGAAGGAATCCATTCATAGCATCAGCCACTGAGGCTAGGTGTTCACATTCCTTACTGCCTCTAGAACTGCACCTAGAAATACAAAGAAGCCCCACTTTTTCCATCATCTTGGGGACTCATGCTCATTGTGCCTCTCAATATCATGACTGTCCTTGCTTACCACCGCACCTCTTGAAAAGAAACCTCTCCAGAGCCAGATGGAGTCCATCAAGAAACCAAGGAGATGTGCACATCTCTCCCTTCACTCTCAATGTCTTCTTCGATGACTCAGGGAGTTACGCACGATTAAACAGAGGCAGTGAGCAATGCGAGGCTCTGGGTTGTGCTTTCATTCTTCACTGGACATAGCTCATTTGCTTTGCTGTCAAACAGCAAGAGAACCTAGGAAAGAGAAAGGGGAAAAATTATGCTTTGGGGGTAGGGGAGTGAGAAAAACTAAATGATATGCCACTTTCAGAATGTATCATTAGCTTTTGGCAAACTATTGACTCTCGCCTGGTCTTTGTCAAATCTTGTAAAGGCAGTGCTATGGCAGCTGTTAATCCTGGCTAGAGTCATTTAACTTGTTAGATAAATTGGAATGGGATCAGATGCATCACCTTGTCAGCAGGACTTCTCCTCTCTGCCAGCCTCCTTCCCACTTCTCCTGTGTCCAGACCTACCTTATTAGTAGTCACTTTTTAACTGTTTCTAATACCTACCTCCAGTCATGCCATCTCACCGACTCTAGTTTAACTTTTTGAATTGCTCTTTTAAAATATGAGTTAAATAAAGGTCAGCAAACGTTTAGCTTAACACCTTTGAGTTATAAGTAAAGACACATACATCAAGATGGCATGGTGATTTGGATCCCAATTTGGGATTCAAATTGGACCCAATATTTAGCCTCTCTCAACTTGAATTTTCGTATCTATAGAAAGTGGTTAATAAATAGTCCCTACTTCTACATCTTGTTGTTGAAAGAGCCAAACAGAGACAAACACAAAAAAATAATGGTAGTTATGAACGATATCTCTGAAGAAAACAGTTAGTTGATATCATGGCAAATGAATGACAAAAAGAGAGAGAAAGAGTGCTTGTTTTGGTCCCTCAAATTTAAAACATATATAATACACAAATATATCTTATATTTATATATAATAATGTATAAAATTTATTTATTTACTTATTTATTTTAGGTGATGAGTATTTTGCTTGCATGGATGAGTACTACATGTATGCAGTGCCTGTAGTGGCCAAAAGAGCGAGTCACAACCCCTGGAACTGTAGTTATCGATGGTTGTGAGCCACCATGCAGGTGGTCAGAACCAAACCTGAGTCCTCTGAAAGAGCAGAAAGTGCTCTTAATGGCTGAGCCATCTCTCCAGCCCCTTGACTTTTAATAGCTGCTTTATCAATTCCTTCTGTAAATATTTATTGTGGGACATATACTATGCCCCAGGTATTGTAATGTGCACAAGCATCAACTAATGAATAAGACCACCTTGCTACTGCTCCACCTGGAGCTTATAGTCTGGGAATAGAACAGAATTTTCACTTATTGCAGCTGTGTTAGGGAGAAGAGTGGAGGGTGTTGATAGAAAATTGTCGGGGAGAATGATTTCCCTGGGTCAGGGAAGTGAGATAAGAAGTCTGCAGGGAAAAGACATTTAAGTGAAGACGTTAAGACCAGAGTGTTTGTAAGCTTCATCAAGGAGAAGGGGGTGGGAAGGCATGTGGCACAGCAAGATGAGAAGCAGTGTGATAGGTTCTCATCACTGAAAAGAAGCGACTGCCAATACAGTGTATTCATTCTACTGCCTCAGCCCTTCCCATGTCACTAGCACCCCACTAGACCCTGTTTCTGCCCAGAAGAAAGAATGTCCTTTGTTTCCTAGGATTCTTGGAAGCCCTATGTTAGAAATAGCAAAGAAACATTCTTAGTAGCTCTCTAAATAATAATATTTGAGCAAATGCCATGCATGAAAATACTGACTTTCTTTAAGTGAAAAATGATTTGAGAGTGATATGACATGTGATGGCTTGCTGAAATATGACAGGTTTATCTATCTTATTGCACTGCTCTTATCTCTCAAATACAAGTTGGGAACTCAGCAAGTTACCCCTGAGAGTGAACACACTCATATTCAAACATAAAGAACAGATGGCTGGCCATAATCAACCCTTATTCTGGCCTTCAGACTGTGTATCAGTTCTGTTTCCTCAAGCCACACCCTGCATCTCCCATCTCAGAGCAGCATTGGCCTCAGCTTTGCCTTCTATTCTTAGCATTTCTCCATCAACCATCCTCACCTGAACACAAGAGTGCAGGTAGCACACGGGATCCAGTCTGAGATGGATCTCTCCTAGATCAAGAATTGGTAGAGCCTGAAGAGTTGCTCACTGATCTTAGACAAGCAGCTTACTACCTCAAATAAAATGTCTAGCACTGCATTCCCACACTTTTGGACCCCATTGTTTGAATATATATAGAAGATTTACTAATGTTCTACCATTACTAAGAAAGCCCCAGGAAACAGCTCTGGTTTATCTGGCTTTGCAGATAGAAGATATAAGAAATATGACACTATAATAAATGTGAGATATGACCATTGCTTTCAAGGATCATACAAACCTGTAAAGGAAATCAAACAACTGATATAATAAAGAAATCTACACACAATAGTCAGTTTAATTCTCCCAATAGGTATGAGTTGCTCTTTGTCCTGTTTTTAGATGATGAAAGGGTGCCTATGATCATATTAGATAAAGTTGGGAATGAAGTTTATGCTGTATTATTCTGAAACATGCACAGAGTCAGATTAGAATACATAAAATGACACCTTGTACCCATAAGCACATCAGAAACAGGAAAAAACAAGCAAAAGTAACCAAATAAAAGAAGTCCGAGACTTTGAAGACTTGGGAATGTTAGAGCAGTATTTCTCAGCCTTAGCATTACTGACATGTTGGACTAAGTGGTTCCTTGTGTTGGATGTGCATGCATTCCTGGCTTCTGTCTACTGAATACTGGCAGAAACCCCAGATCATAAAAATAGCAACATCAAAAGAAACTCTAGAAGTTATCAAATGGGCTTTGGGGAGAAAAATCCCATCTCATTGACAACTCTGCAGTAGAGTCAGAGAACCTTCAGGGCAGCAAAGTCCAGGGGAAGACACATCATGTACGATCAGGAGGCCAGATCATGCTATAAAAGCCAATAGTTGAGAAAAGGCTGGAGTGGAGTTGGAACCAGATTCTGGAAGGTTTAGAATGCCAGGTTCTGATAGTAGAAGCTAAGAGCTAGTATATAATCTAGAGACTAAGAGTGACATCTGTTCTTCTTCTTCTTCTCCTTCTTCTCCTCCTCCTCCTCCTCCTTCTTCTTCTTCTTCTTCTTCTTCTTCTTCTTCTTTTTCCTTTCTGGCCTCTGTGCTGCTCCCTGAATATTTCAGGCACATTCTGGTCTCAGAATATTTGAATCTTCTCTCCTCTGTCTTGAAAACAGCAGTTCTCAACCCATGGGTTGTGATCCCTTTGAGTCATTTTGTAACAATAAAAATATATCCTGTATAGCAGATATTTACATTACTATTCACCACAGTAGTAAAATTACAGTTATGAAGTAGCAATGAAAATAATTTTATGGTTGGGGATCACCACAACATGAGGAACTGTATTAATGAAAGCATTAAGAACGTTGAGAACTACATAAAAGTTTCCCAAAGGACACTTCTCATCTTCCTCTGTTCCCCACTCCCCAGTCTGAGCTGGCCTCCAACTCACAACCTTCTGCCTCAACCTCTTGAGTGCTGGGATTGCAGATGTGCACCACCACAGCTGGCTCCTTCATGTTTCTGTCCAGATTCTATGAGTGAGGCCAGCCATTTCTCTAAATTTCTGTCCCCTATCCTATTTAGTTTACTTTCATACATCCGCTTTTCCTTCATATCATCCCCATGGCATCACAAAACCATATATGTATGTCACTTTATTGTCTATCTGCTGCAGGTAGAGTGTGAGCGGAATGAGGTCAGAAACCATTCCTGAGCCTGTGTTACTGCGAACTTGATACCAGAGACACTTCCTAGTACTCAGTAAATATTAAATTAGCAATTGCTGTGGGATGTTCTGTATGTTAAATGTGTTGCTCTGATTTGTTAATAAATAAAACACTGATTAGCCAGTAACCAGGCAGGAAGTATAGGCGGGACAAGGAGAGAGGTGAATTCTGGGAAATGGAAGGCTGAGTCAGAGAGATGCTACCAGCCACCGCCATTAGTACCAACATATAAGATACTGGTAAGCCATGAGCCATGTGGTATAGATTTATAGAAATGGGTTAATTTAAGATAGAAGAACTAGATAACAAGAAGCCTGCCACGGCCATACAGTTTGTAAGCAATATAAATCTCTGTTTGTTTACTCGGTTGGGTCTGAGCATCCGTGGGACTGGTGGGTGAGAGAGATTTGTCCTGACTGTGGGCCAGGCAGGACTGGAGAAAACTCCAGCTACAAGCAATTATATTTTCAGGAAAAATGTTTCTCTAAACCCAGGTGCTACCTTACCCAGTCTATAAACAGAAGGTCTTTATATATTTCAATTATCATAAAATATAGTCTGATACTAGAAAAATAGTCTGATACTGATTGAATAAGAACTAAGGCACTTATGGGTTTAGGAATAGAGACTCCTGTGACTCAACTAGTTTAAAGGCAGTAAATTGGAGAATCTGTGTACTAGGATGCCAAAAGTGCATTTAATGCACCACAGAGATTATAAGTCACCTGACAGCTGTTACATTTGCCACTTGACTCTATTCTTGCTCTTTCTTCATAGCTTCACTTCTTAGGAAGACAAGATCAAATTTCTCAGGCATGAGTAAGCATGGGGTTGCAGGGCAGAATGTTCTGGGATGCCCTAATATGCCAATTGAGACAAAAATGTCACAGTGTATTGACACAGATTGTGAATGCTCAAAGGCATCTTCAATGTGCAATAGGGTAGACAAAATTTCTTCCTCTTTGTCCAGCAAACCAGGTAATAGAATTTTAGAGATATGCATAGGGCCAACATACAGGCTTGTTCTATGATTTCTACTGCTCTGTTCAATGAATTTTATCAGTGCCTTATATTTTGCTAATTCCTTTAATAAAATTTTATGACATGCATTAGAATAGATGGTAATATTTATGTATTTAGATCACCAAAACCAACAGGCAACATGTAGCAGCACAGTTAATTCTAAGGCTCTGGAGTAAATGCCCCAATTCTCCCAAACTCTCCATGATTTTTAAATAAATGAGCTAGCTTACAGGAGTCTCAACTTACCAATCTGTGAAATGAGTACCACAAACAACCATTTGGTGAGTGTTCTGGTGTTTTGTGGATTCCATTTCA